CTACAGTGTCCAGGATCACAGAAATGTAAAGTAATATCACTCCCATCTCTTCCTTGGGTCCCACATGAATCCTTTTCCAAATGTCTTCTCTCCAAAAATGGTATGTAAAGCCAAGTTGAGAGAGATGTGAGGCACCATTTTCCCTCTTACAGATTTGTTATGTTTTTGCTTTTTATCGTCACACTTAAATGTTTCAAATTAATATCTGGACCAATGCAAGTAATTAGAGTGCAAGCGATAGTTTTATACACCAAAGGAAAAAAAAAAAGAAGTCCAAACCAAGCATGGTTGTGTTTGGGGAAAAAATAAAAGTTTGCCCTCACATCCCCTGCCCTTTTGTTAAATCACTCGTTAAATTAGCCTGGCCATTGTTTTCCTTTGCAAATCCCCTCGACTCTCATCTCCCTCAGTGCTTCGTCTGGGGTTTGTCCCATTGAGTTTGATTTTTCAGGATGCGTTTCGTTCTGGTCAATTAGTGAGCACAAGGAGAACAATGACCTCATACTTCTACACTGTTAGGCAGCGGAGCCATTTGGCCACCACACTTTCGTGATGCACCAATCAATCATCAATAAAACATGGTGGCAGTGTCATGATCTGGGGATATTTTGCTGATTGCAAAAGTTTGAGGTAACTAAAGGAACCAGAAATTTTGCTCCATAACACAAAATCCTGCATGAAAATCCTGGACTATTTGTTGAACTTTGGCATACTTACTTTATTGAGCAGGACAATCATCCAAAGCGCAATAGCAAGCTATCTCGCTTAGAAAAGTTTTTCTTGTGGCCTAGATAAAGTCCAAACTTAAACCTTACTGAGATGTTGAGACATAGCCTTTATAAAAATGCACTTCATGTTTGAAAATACTGCAGTGTGGATGAAGAAGAACATTTTTCCTTCACAGTGAAGTTAAAGGGGAAAAAAAAAAACATGGTCAGTTTCCACAATAACTTGATGCCAGTTGTTGCCCCCAAACGATGGGGCAACCTGTTGGTATATAGGGAGCAATTACTTAGTCATACAGGACCAGACGGATTTATAAACTTTTGTCCTAATCAAATCATTTAAAAATGTCTTTTTGCATTTAAAAACCTGTTAAAATCCAAACTGTAACTCACACACCAGAACTTACTGCTAAAACAATTCAAAAGAACAAAAAGTACAAGGTGCACTGTCTCACAGACAGCACGGTGCTGCGAGATACCGATCTGGTTCGGTCTCTCTCTCTCTCTCTCAGTGCTCATGGCTTGTTGTCATGACGACATGCCTTATGAGATCATCCCACTTGTGGCGAGAGGCATCGGTGGGTAAGGTCGGTGGCTGACGCGCGGGGTGGGGTAAAAAAACAAAAAACAAAACAAAACATGTTATCTTCCGAGGGGAGCCCCAGTGGAGCAGGGGCAGCTTGGATGCCACCTAAACATTGTTATTTCATCAGCCTGGCGGAGAACAATAAGCGGTGTACGTTGCACCACCTGAGCTGGGGTGTCATTATCTACTTCCCCACAATAAACGGCAGCATGTATCGCCCCCATCAATCTACGTGTCAGGCTGACCATCTGTGTTTCTTCGCTGAAAAGGTAATAAGACCAACCCCCGCTGTCCGCTCTCTGGATGCTGAGCCAGATGATCACAGGGAGCAGTTTGTGATATCTCTGCGGTGGGGGGGGGAGGGGAGAGACTGTACTGATTCCAGTAGACCTGAGTCATGAGGATTTCCATGTCCACAATGCTTACTCACTTTAACTCTGCTCCTGTAAGCAAGCCAAGTGAGTTATTGTTCTTTATCTTTGTGTCCTGAGAGGATGAGCCCGCTGCGCTCGCAGTGTTTTAATACCATTAGCACGAGCAGAGACATGCCCAGACTGGCCTGGTCTGCTGCTGCATCTGCATGTCTGCTTTGGCATCCTCCCTCATCATCCACAGCTGTAGGATGGTGTAAGCCCTTTTGTTTGAACTGTGTCAATGGACCAACAGCAGCTGGAGCAGCCGGCGTAGGACAGCTGGGGAAGAGGAAGAGGATTTGCATATGAGTGTGGATTAGACTGTCTATAAAAAGCAAAGAAGCCAAATGATAGGGTATCTCTCAGAAGAAGGCAACGTCGAGAGAGAAAAGGTTAACAAGGAGGGCGAGGAGGAAGTGGATGGGCGGGCAGCGGAAAGGGATGAAAGAAAGTAGGAGAAGAGGAGATTTCAGGAATATAGTCTCATGCCAGAGTGAGATATGGGAGGAAGATTTAGGGATTACTTTAGAGGGTATGCGACTAAAGACGAAGGAGTGCAAAGAGGGTTTGTCAGCATGTGAAAGACAACGAGGAGGAGTGGATCAACCGAAAATGATCCGTAAGGTCAGAATTTGCTCTCAGGGAAACATTGAGGATCCAGCAAATCCGAATCGTACACAGAACTCCAGAACACACAGGTCGCACCTAATGTTTCAGTGGCCATGTGGCCCTCGTGCAGAACAGTGACCCCGCTTAGATTAATGCGGGGAAAATTGAGTTTCCGTAAGCAGAGAATTTACTTAGCATGCTGCCAATGGCGACTGAATGAGTTGTGATCTGATTTTTCTTATCGCGCTCAATTGAGAGGGAGAAAGCTTTTCTATTCAGCTGCTATTACCCGGCGTTAGATAAGGCGAGGGCAGAGTGGCAGGAATAAGAGCCTGTATCAGATAGACGTATTTTCGGCTGAGCTATTTTTAGTTCAGGAGCTGGCAGACAGTAATATGTTTGAGCAGGTCATTAGCCCCAAAAGGGGGTTGGAGGAATCTTTGAATTTCCTGCTCTCTAGAAAGCCTTTTTTTTTTAAATTATTATTATTAAAGTAGAGCAACCATTGCTGCTCTTCTATGTCTGACAGTACGTATGGAAAGTCAGGGACTTTATTTTTGATATGTACCAGTCAAAAATGTATGCGCGATCTTTGATCTGCCCCTGCTGGTTTTAGCTAGATCCGATTCCTTTTTTTTTTTTTAAGAGCTTTAATACAAGAGCAGCATTCAAAGTATTTCTTCCAACCATCCTGCCATGGTGGATTATTAATTAACAAGAGGCAAAGTCACATTGTGTGAGAGAGAGAGTGTAGTGGCTAAAAAACAGGATGTTCCTACTTTAAGGCAAAACAATTAAGAAGTTGAAGCCTTTATGAAGTTACCAGCTTCTGGAAAGTAAAAGTAATTATGGCTGGAGTTGCCGTCGACAGTCAAATGACTGTAGTGACATGAGCTGAAAGGCCACTCAGTGAGGAAGAGGCCATTACTTTTCCGGCTTCATGTTGTTTGATGAGCTCACTAATTTCCATGGACAAGCTCAACCTTTCAGCTTTTTGCCGCAAACAAGGCTGACGAGCTACAGAAGTGTCCTGAACATCTTTGACTGTTGTTGTGACATGTATCTTAGCTACACACAGTTTTAATTGGCTGTAGGTGACACAGCTTGTGAGTTACGAATAGACTTGGAGCCTAGATTAGTGAGCGTAATAATAACACTCGGTTTTAGAGAGAGGTGAAGTCTTCAAAACTAACTGAATGTTAAAAATGTGGAGCAAAGTGTTTCCTGGTTACAGTGGTACGCATCCTTTTCATTTTAAGTATTGGACAGGAATGATTATGAGGCTCGGCAACCCTTCATCTCGAATTGTCTTTTGTATCTCGTTTTTGCAAAGACTGCCAAGTTTTCCAAGTTCCAAGTTGTCCTGACACATTGTAAAAAAAAAAAAAAAAACTAAAATTTTCTTTTACGTTGATTCTTTACATATTTTTGTCTCCTCAGGTTTATTTTTGATCTGTAAAACACTTGAAATGTTGTAAAATAGATGATCCAGTAGCAAACACATCTGTTTCATTGATTGGAAAAAAAATACCCCACCGGTCTAAACTAAGCAAGATCAAAATCATCAGATTCCAGTTGCAAGCCCGTTCGTCTCTGCATGTCTATATTCACGTGGGAATCACAGCGTGGCCTGTCGCCTGCATTATGTCTCCTCAGGAGCGTATATATTATCTTGTATTGCTACTTGAAGGCAAGGATATATATGCATTTGATGTACGACAGGTTAACAAAGGCTCCTTTCTCATTTGGCCTCTCCACCTGCGCTCTGACATATCTTTTGATGAGAGGTGGGGGGACGGGAGAGCGCGATAAGACTGAGGAGTTATTGACTCGCGGATGCGGAGCTTCGGCGCAGCTTTCCCAAATCTCTGCGAGCAGACAAAGCTGATTTATGTGGGGACTTCCAGATGTGCGTCGCTCTGCGTGCGTGTGTTTGCAGCAGCGAAGAGAGCAAAGTACCCATGGCAACTCCCCCAAAGGCTCTGGGGTTATCTAAAGAGGGTTCACATGTATTGAAGCAGCCGGTATTTATGTGCTGTCAGATGAATTTTGTGGCATTCCTACTAACCTCCAAATCCTCTTTGTTTAACTGTTTTCCTTTACTGTTGCCTACTGTAGATATATAAAACTTTTATGTGTCGGCAGAATGCTGAAATACTGAGTGCTGAGAGGGAATTAGGCTGCAGCCAAAATGAAATTATTAGGGTGTCTTAATGGGGGGAGGGGGAAAGGATGCTTAAATCTGTATCATTGCAGCTCATTTCATGGCTCAGTAGAGAAGGAGACTTATTAATACAGAAGCTGTACGCCGAAAACTGTTTTGTTCTGTTTCTTGCTGTAGTTATTGAGCAGTGGCTTTATTGTTCTGGAATTAGTTCCGTCACAGTCAGCCTGCCGGAGCTCCTAATCCCACAAGTCAGAAGTGCTCAGGCTTAAATCAGAAAACTTAATCCTACATTTGCATACATTTGCCTTTGATTTTCATAATGATTACATTTTTCGCTTTTATTTATTTATTTTTTTTTTTTTTCCCAGAAGAAACAACATTATGTACTTTCTCCCCTCGTGGTGCATCGAAGTTGCGGATAAGCAGCTCTAAAACGCAGGAGGAGCGATGAATCAGATGCGACAGAAATGTGCCTGACCTTCATCTCGTTCTGTTTGCAGAGTGCCTACCCCCGTTGAGCGAAGCCCTACCTGCATATTAGTCATCTCCAACCAACTCGGCGGTGGTGCCATGCCTTCGTGTAAGCCAGACGGAGTTCTGGCACAGTCCAGGCGAACCATCCTTGGCTCCTGCTTCCTCTCATCTCCCCTGTGTCTGTTGCTGCCTTTGATTATCCTCCTAACCAGGCCATGGGGCAGCTTGTGTGAAGCACTAGGTAAAATAATATATCTACTTCTTCCTTCTTTTTTTATTTATTTATTTTTTTTTCATTGTTTCTTTGTCATTTTAACATCTGACAATCAAACAGTAAATGAGATGCATACGAGCACGCCTACATATAAATGTGTAAGTACATGCGCACGCTCTGTGGGTGTCATCCGAGGAGTGAATCCTGTCCTGTCAGTACATCAGCTCTGAACTGTGGCGTTGTTAATGTGTTTTGATAAGGCGGGAGGTCCCATCAGTATGTTTCTCATCATCTTCTTGATTACAACATCTCAACACATTTCCTGCCTCAGTGGTTTACACACGCAGACACACACCAAGAATTTCTCAGCCAGGCTTTGGCTATCAGTGATCTGAAATTGTCACCAAGCTGAATTTTTTATTTTTTTTAATTTTTGGATGGCAGATAAGATACAAGTCTAAAGATGGAACCTAACACCTCTCAGTGTTTAAAATTGGAAATAGTGCTTTTTTTTTTTTTTTTTCAATTTTCCTCCTGTCCAACTGTGTGTTCAGGGTGAAATGATGCATCCTGCTCACAAAATGAGACATGATATCTGATTCACAAGTTGAGATTTTCTAGAAATATTTTCCGGAAAACTAAGAATCACTGTTTTGGGTTTACAAATCCAAAGAATACTCACAAATTACAAACTGTTGTTTAGATTTGTAGAAATCTGTTTGACCCCTCTGTATGTTAAAGTTTTTCACCTAGCTATTGCTAACGAAGGCGTGGGTGAGTTCATGGTATCAATGCAGACTAGGATTTTTAAAAAGCTGTCGTGTCAAAGTAACTAAATAAATGTTCAAAGATTCTAGAGTCCTTTTAATGGCATTCCACATCTGTTCTACACCGACACGGAAACACGAGGAGGAAAAAAAAAAACAGAAAACGGCTCCGGATTAAAACCATGCTGGCGTGACATTTTCAGGCGTTTGTTTTCTGATCTTGTCGGGATGTTTCATGTCGTCGCAGATGTTACCTGGCTTTAGGTTTTAGATTGATGGGCTCTTGAGTGATATTTATGACAAAGTTTCACTCTCAAAAATGTTAGACCGGCGTCGTCAAGCACTTTTTTTTAATCATATAACATCCTGCAAACGCACAAGAGAGCATTTTATTAATTGAAGCACAAATTCGGATGGGATGTACATCGGCAACCTACAGTGTGTTTAAGTGTGTGCATTTTTTAAGCCGTTTTGTTTTTCTGAAATTAATCGAAATTACAGTATTAAACTCCCAATGCTAACAATCACTAATGAATTAAAGGTTTTAGAAAACATAAAAATTGTGAATCATTCCTTTAGTTTGGTGCTAATACTAAGCTTGGAAACAATTGTTAACTACAGTGCCAGTAGCAGCTACTTATTAGCCACTTGTAATATTCTCGCAGTTTTTTTGTGAACCAGTTGGACTCACTCTTTTGTTGTCGTTTCCATCGAGGCAATCAAACAACTCAAGAAACAACTACTTCCTTTTTCATTAGGAGGTAGTTCTCATTTGTTCTTATTAGAAAAAAAATGTCTAAAAATGTGTCCAGCTTAAAGCACACACCCTCATATCTAATATAATTACACCCTAATTATATTAGCTTGTAGTACTTGTCCAGACAAAAATGTTTTCCAAATGTTTGGCAAGTTATCGGGGTCATTTCAAACATGAGTCATCCCAGTTTGATCTAAAATATTTCCTTTTCCAAATAAAAGGGAGAACTCAACTTACTAAATAATGTCAGGTTTTTGCTAATAAATTCTGGAAAGGTCCGTGGTAATTTTTGTTTCTTATTTGCTTTCTTGTGTCAAATGATCCTTGTAATGTCATTTTCTTTCTCCCAAAAAATAACAAAAGCAATTCCAGTTGATTTTATTATCTTTGTATCACTGGCTTTTTTTTTTTTTTTTTTTTTACACTTTTGAGCATGAGATGAAAACAAGTTTGACAGCAGTGAGGCACAAACAGGAGAAGATACATTATTAAAACTGGCTGCAGGGCTTGTGAGACCAAAGCTGGCTGCTCTTAATACATTTGCCTTTTGGTACTGTTATTTAAGGTAAAACAAATTGAAACATTTGATAAGAAGTTATACTCGGACCGAACACTTCTGACAGGAAAACTGTGTGGACTGATTATAGTCAGACTTGAGGAAAACTACTGACTTCCAATTATGCTTTTTTTTTTTTTTTTTTTGTCACTTGGCATGACAAAAATGCTGAGACATTTTGCCTTGTTACGTCTGAGCTCAGCAGTTGTCAGTCTCTCTGGCGAGTGATTACAAGTCACAAAGGTGTTCCATTAAAACCCGACCGGTTGTCTGTCAGCGGCGGCAGACCACGGCAGTGGAGAAAAAAAAAAACCACCTTTTTTTTTGTTTTTATTAAAAAAAGACAGGGGTCTTTATTAGACCTTTATTTCCCAAGAACATCCTGATCATAACAAGTTTCTGTTGAGTGCAAATCCATTCAGAGCCGCAGCCTTCGAGGGCTTTTCCCCGGCTGTCAGAAGAGGCTTAAGTGGTTATTCTGCTAGTGGGATCAGTTTTGCACAAGGATTGGTGCGTTTAAGAGAACATAGAAAACATTTCGGACTCAACACAAAGCCAATGAAAAATACCCACATTCAAGCCCTGAGACTAACACGGAGTTCCTTCGTAATCCCACAGACAGGAGGAAGGCGCTTTCTGCCCTGACGACTTTTTTTTTTTTTTCTTCCTTTTTAAAAAAAATAAATAAAAAATTCTATGGCACTCATGTCATTGGCACGGGGAAGGTGCAGTTTGCTTGACGTTGTGTGTGTTTCTGAGGGTCTAACAGGCATAAAATAACCTGCTCCGGCGTCTAAATATGGGAAGGATAAATTTGTTCAGTCAGATTACTCACTATGTGCTTTATGCTCCTTCCTGCTCAGGATTATGGCAAGCACAAAACGAAACCGCGTTATTTCTGACATGCCAAACACACGGTGTAGCAAGCAAAGGAGAAGGGTTTTTTTTTTTTTTTTGTCACAGCGTTTTTCCGGTTCCTGTCAAGGCTTTATGGAGAAAATGGAAAGTGTTTCGTCTGGCTATTTAGAACAGAAAGGAGTGGGAAGAGAATTAGACCTACTATCTGCCTGTTAATATTTGATAGACAGATGTGGGGTTTTTTTTTACTCCCCCCACCATTTTTAGTAATATTATTGTTATTATTCCTGCCATGTCTTCAATCAACACAGTGCAACCTCGCCCACCTAGACGCAGGGGAGGAGGGAACCGGGTTGCTATGGTAAGGGTCATCCTGACTTCGCCCTGATGGATAGCAGCGATTCGGCGGTTGAAGAGGAGTTAAGCTGGGCACCATGGCAACAGGCCACAGACAGATAGCAAGGGGTGGATGCGTGAGGTTGTTTTACCGGTCTGACTCAGCTGCTGCGAAAAGTGTAGGTTCAGTACTGTTGGTTCAATATCACACTTGGAAATTGCTGTTTTCTTGCAGAGGGCAACTGCAGCGCCTTAAAGCGTCTCACATTCCTGCCGTAATCCCTGAAAATATCCTCTTGAATTCCTCCACCAAGCCACGAGCAGGAAGTAAACGGCGGAAATTAGGATCGTCACGCTCCGCAATTCCAGGTCTCATCCCCCTCCCCCCTCCTCGCCCCCCCCCATCCCCCCACAGGTGTGTGGCGCTCTGCAGGCACAAAAATCATGCCTCTGGTATTAATACATTTAAGCCAATTACATGCTGTGAATCTTCAGCCAACACTTCTCCTACCTGTGAAACGCTCATGTGGGATGACAGCCTGTGCTGCTGCATACAGCTCTGTGTTGTCCTGCAGGGGAGGGAGAGAGAGAGAGAGAACGGTGGGCCCAGAGAGAGTGGGGGGGTAAAGAGAGAGAGATGTTCCTATGAAGCCCAGACCCATCTTTTATTTATGACCCACAGGAAGTCCTTCAGCTTGTCCTCTAGATGATACCCAGGAAGTAAGCACAATGGCGCAGCCGTCAGGACACAAGTCACTCTGGCCAGTCCCTGAAAGTGAAACAGGGCGTGGATCAGCAGGAGTTGCTATTTCTGCCTTCGCGGTTGATTTGATTTCCTCCAAATATGACTTTTCATGTCTGGGTTTTGTTCAGTTTTTTTGTTTGTTTGTTCCTTTGCTTCATCCCGTTTCTCACTCTTCCTTTTTCTTCTCTCCTTCCCTGCTTTTCAGCTCCGCCGAAGTTCACCAAAATTCCCACAGACCAGATCGGGGTGTCAGGGGGTGTGGCATCATTTGTGTGCCAGGCCACTGGCAACCCCAAGCCAGTAGTCTACTGGAACAAGAAGGGCAAGAAGGTCAACTCCCAGCGTATCGAGGTGGTTGTCACAATGCACAATGATGAGCCCTCACATGGGCTAACATTGACTCCAGTGAATAAATAGGCTTGAATGTATGCATCTGTGTGGGGTGAACGATCTGCATTTAATCATTTTAGAGTTCTAAACCTCAAAAGTCTTATCAAAATCAGTCATTTTAAAGGATAAAGTATTTTGCTTCACACTGAGGGATCTTTATCTCATCGTTCTTTTAAAGGTAAATTGTGACATTTCTTCAATATTTGTCAAATTTATCTCAGAATAGTTGCACTTGAACTGTAACGTTTAGAAAAAAATCAACAGGTCTGACGTTTCACAGCTTCTGTTATGCTCCATCCAGACTTAAGCTAATTGAAAAGCTAACGCAGTGAAACACGGAGATGCTCTCATGCTTATTCAGTAAACATGATTAGGATTCTAAGATGGCTCTGACTAAAGTAGAATATAAATAAATAAAAATCTGGCAGCACTCTGAGGAATATTTTTCTCTCTTACCTTGAATGACTCATGTATTTTGCAAGTAACAGGTCTGCAGTAGCTCAGTTGACATTGCATCTGGACTGATTTTTATCCAATCCGTGCTTTTCAAAAATAAAAATAAAAAAGAAAGAAAGAAATCTCTCGTCTACATTCTAATGTAGGTCTTATGCATTATTCCTAACTCTGATAATTTGCCAAATTAAAGTTTTTTTTAATATGTTTTAAACTGAGAATCGATATTTTACAAACCAGTTTGCTCCAGTTGTTTTTCTACATGTTTTCCCCACATACTGTGTGCTTCATCGCTGCAATAGAGTTAAGATGCAGGCTGTCCTGCCTTATGCCCAGTAACACAGCAGATGCAAAACATGCATGGAAGAAAAATACACCACAGAGAGCTGCAGGTCCTGAGAAAATTGTTGACCCCTCCCCTGCCCCCAAAAAAGAACAACATCTGACTGTCGGCGAGGAGCTTCTTTCTAAACTGATCTTATGTTACACCATGAATGCACATGCATACTATATTGTTGTGGGGAAAAAAAAAAATCTGTAGGTTTTACACTCAGATGTAAAAATGTAAAAAAAAAAAAAAATGTTTCTGCTTTGTGCAATTGGCTAAAATCATGTGCCCGCTTTCCAATCTGCCCTTCTGCTGGTATCGTTACAGACAACGCTTATCTTTCAGAATCCCAATCAATTTGCTCTAGATATAGTTTACATTAATAAATAAGCTAGAACCATTTTAAGGACAGATTATCTAGCCGTGTTTATTCCCCCCCCCCAGAGTCTGCCTGAGAGCGGATTCTTTAAAGAGGCAGCAGCATTAAAGCCAGCAGGATACCAGAAAGCTCGACAGCAATGAGAAAATAATGTCACCGGTTTTTAAATGAGGCTTACTGTTTATTTCTTGGGCTGCTTTGGCCCTTTTTTTTATCATTGTGAAGTAGAAAACATTCTGTTAAGGAGGCAGACCTGTCGAGTGGTAATTGGTGACCTTTTCAGATCCGGAATAATCACTATTTCATACTTTGAACAGAATGAGGCTTGCGATGTAGTCCAGCTGCTAAAGTAAACGAATGACTCTAGCGTGACAGACCAACGAGAGTGATGTCAGTTTCCTCAACTAACCTCTGGCCGAGTGTGAATGGGTAGCACATGATTTCAAACATATTGATTAGAACAGAGCAATTCAAATGGGCACAGTTTTATTTGAAACTCGCGGAATAATGTCAAACAAAAAGTTAAATGCTGCAAACGAGGGAGTCGTGAAGGGCATTTTTTTCATTTCTAGATAAGTCGAGGTCTAACTGTGAAGGAATGTGACTTAACTGATTCTAAAGACTTCGTCTCAGACAGGGCATCCGGATCACGTTGTTCTCGGTAAGTACAGTGTCTGTGCAAGCTGCTGACCGCCAGCCTCTGGAGCGTGTTTACAGGTACACAATGTGTCTTAATGATTCGCTGAAATAGTCAAGTGTCTCAAAAAAAAAAAAAAAACATCTGCTGTCGTAATCGTCAAAGTGCTGTAAAAAGACGGCGCTCTCAAATGCGGCCACCCCGCAGATCAGAAAAGAAAGGGATCCCTTCTCTACTGTTAAGAGTTGAACTGCTAACTCTGCCGTGACTAATATATGCTACTCTGTAAAATCCTGTGGCTGTCCAGACCATAGAGTTTGACGGAGGTGCTGGAGCCGTGCTGAGGATCCAGCCTCTCAGAGCTCCTCGAGACGAGAATGTCTACGAGTGTGTGGCGCGCAACAGCCAAGGAAACAACACCACCACTGCAAAGCTGGATATCATCAGAGGTAAGCGCACGCTCGCGCGCTTTTAGACACGGATGAACTTCTCTTTCAGCTCGACACGCGTGTCCTCTTTCGGCCCCCCCGCAGCCGCCGGGGGGGCTGGAGGTTGTAGATGTGACAGTGGAACAAGGCCACACCCCACCTTGCACATCAGGCTGCAGCGAGCTGTTCTTTTTATAGTCCTTCGGAGCGCAACCGAGCATGAACTGGCCGAAGTGAGGGCCAGCTAGGTCTGTTGGCTCTGGGGCTTTTTTAGCATTCCAGCTTGCTGTAATCATTCCGCTTCCTGGCCAGAGTGAGGGTGTTAATCTAATGTTGACTGTCTTCTTGCAGGGAAGCCTTAATAAGGTTTTGCCCCAACCAAGACGTGAGCTTAAGTTACAACATGCGGCTCTTAAGGCTACGATCCGAGCGCTGGCCGTTCGCCCGGCGCAGCTGGATTTGGGTGAGGAAAGAGAAGGGCTGGCTTTTCAAACGGTTGCTCAAACAAGAGAAGTCATTGGATTAGGCAATGCTTTAGCAGGCAAGCCTTTCTTATCAGGAGTAATTCAGTTGTGGAGGAAAATTGGAGGGGGAGCTGGTCAAGGAGAGGTGAGAGGAGTTATAATGGAGGAACGAGGAGGTGGGAGGGAGTTGAGCAAACCAAGAGGATTGTGAAAAACAATAGAAATGAAATGGGATGTCAGCGGAGATCGGGTGAGGGGAGGAGGGGTGCAGAAGATGGATGAGGACTGTGGAGCTGGCAGGGCTGTGTAGTAAGCAGAAGGCTGGTAGCCCAGGGAATAGACTCCTGTCCATCTGTTACTGCGCCCATCATCTCTGCACACATAGCCCCAATCTAAAGCACATTACCACAGAAACTGCACCTCAAGGGTCAGCCTCCCATGTGCGTGTGTGTGCGTGTGTGTGTCTGTGAGTGGCTCTTACTTTGGTAGCATGCGCTTTTATTTCTCTTAGCTTCTTCTCTAGTGTCAGGACGACTTTCCCATTTTCTCGTTGACTATAAAAATGCCTTGCCTTCGATACCAGAGCGCAGGGTATCATTAAGCGAAGTAATATTTACTTTTATTCAGAGCCGGTAAACCGTAAAAGGTGAATCACCTGCATGCAGGCTTCAGGAGAGTTCATGGCTGTAGTAGACAGTACAGTAGGACGTTTAGGTGCTGTAACTTTGGAGCAAACGGCACAAACATGCAACACATTTGCATCAATTAGGTGTTTGCAGTGAGCATCTAACATTTCACACATTGAGAGGGCGTTGTCATGGAAATACACAGATTACATTTATTTAAGGGAGAAGCATCTTAGTGAAACAAAGGGGGGGGGGATGCATGTTATTAACGACAGGGTATGAAATTTTAAAAATGTTATTTAACTCGAGGTGAGAGCTACACGTTTTAAGTTTTTAATATGAAAATCTGTTCGGATGTGCTCGTAAAATCGAACATGCTTACAGACTCTTTCCCAGCGGCTCTTCCTGTTTGGTTGCGTCAGTCCCGTAAAAGTGTCGTGTCATCACTGTTCCATATGTCCTCCAGCGCAGCCAGCAGGAAATTAGCTGATGTACTGCTGGAACCATCTAATATATTGCAATAGTTAACTGCTGTTATATAACTATTGCAGTTATGTTCTTGTGTTATTCAAAGGTTGTCCTATTGCCATATATATATATATATATATATATATATATATATATATATATATATATATATATATATATATATATATATATACCGTACTTAAGGCTTCATAAATCCCTGTTTAAATTTTGCAACTCATTTCTGATCGGTTTACTTATTGATCTACAAATGATCAATTGCGTTTCAGACCCAGACGGGTTTCATGCTGACAGGTGCAGGACATGACAACTTTACTGCTGCTAGTGGCTGACCGTTAGCCATTTCCAGCACTAGGTCTCAATTTGTCTGTCACTCTGTCAACATTTCACCTTTTTCTGCCAACTAAACTGCAAGAGCTCTGATTAGAACAGTGGGGATGATACTAAGAATCAGCAGTATGCATTTTTATTCATTGTAAAAAAACATATATATATTTGTTTTTTTATAACTTGCACACTAAATACTTGAAAAAAATCTATGTTGTTCATGTTATTTAATTCAAAGCTAACCTCCCATTAAATTTAGGAGTTGATCTAATGAGCAATGAGTGAGTCCTTGAAAGCATCTATGAGGGTAGAGATGATCCAATCTAGAGGATAGGATCCTCATATCTACATTGGGAATATCTAATAGCACTGATTTCTTTTCTGTTCCACGACCTCTCCTTAAACATTTTGTGTTGTTTGTGGTCTGCTAGCCGTACTCCTAGAATCTTGCGAATATGTTTAGCTGCATTCTTCCATGATAAACCTCGGAAGGATCCTCTCATGCCTATATTCATATCCTTCCCGGCTTCAAAGCTGCAAAATTTGAAATTACAAACTGCTGAGATGAAGGGCGCTGGGGGGGGGAGGGAGGGAGGGAGGGAGGGGGCCCGGGTCTTAATGTCTTCAGATTGTAGCGGCGGTTTAGAAAAGCTTCCTCCGTCAACCTCCTGGCTCTATTTGTATGTAAAGTGTTAGCAAAATGGACTAAAAAGCCTCTACATCCAGCAAGAAAATCACTCACTGTCATTTAACAAACCTTTCTGCCTTGAACGGGTCATTAATTATTGATGAGCGGAGACGACGTTACGTGTGTACACGAGCGATTAAGAACATTCATTTCAATTCAGCTTTATTCGTTTTGCACTTTTCATGTGCTTGTAAGAGGCAACACAAGCAGGCTGAACTAGCAAACCTTCGACATGAAATAAATAGATATTGAGGTTAAGCAATGGAAAGTCAGTTAGGTTAAAAAAACAAATATGATATATAAAACAGTTAAAATAAGAAGCTAAATTAAAACGTAAAATCTGTTAAATCAAACAAATGGGCTACAGTGGCAGTACAACAAAAATATTCAGCACATTTAAGTGAGAACAGGTACACAACACAACAGCCGTGTGTGATAGGGATTTTTCCCCAGGAGATTTTTGAGCTCCGTTTTAAAAGATTTGGAGTGTGTCCATGTTTCATGTCGAAGGCGGGAAGGATTCTACAGGAAAGGGGCCAGGGAACTAAAAGCTCTGCCTCCTACTCGTGACTTGGAAATTCTGTGAATGACACGTATTCCTGCACGTCGAGAGAGGACTGCTCCTGTGAGGCGGGAGGCATAAAGTCAGTCAGAAAGTATTATGCTGTTGAGGACTGTATGTGTAATCAAATTTTCCACTGAATCCTGAATTTAATAGGAAGCCAGCGTATCGTGATACTAATGGAGAAATAGGATCCCTTTCTCAAAGCTCACGCAAGAAGATCCCTTCCTGCAATTTGAATAAAGAAAAAAGGGATTTGTGAATTACTACCTGCATTTCTCTGTGTCAGTTTGTGTAAAGATGCCTCCGATCCGAAGACGATTGTAACGAATCTGTCAAAGAAAACGTCGAAAAGGATCGCAAAGCTTTCGACAGCGGTGTTGGAACCTAACGTCACTTTTGGCGTTCAAGAACTACAGCAGCAGCTTCTAGACTAATATTCTCACTTTGTGTCAGCGTCTTTCAAAAGGCTGCCAACATCACCAAATCCCTTTAAGGAAGAGTTTGAAAGCTCACGCAATAAAATGAAGAAGCTTTCTTTGAACCGGTTGGCTTTCCCTTCACCGCTGAAGCGCCTTCTTACTCCCATGTTGTCTGGGAATGGAAATGTGAAGCAAATGTTTCCAATATGGCAACCAGTTGTGCGGATATACCATAATAGCGTTTCCCTTTGAGCTCATATAGGAAGAAGGGCAGAAAATTGCAACCCACAGATTTCACATAGTCTTGGCCCACGTTTTCCTCTCTCCTCCCTCATCATCAATGTGTCCCCACGAATCTCCCTGCTCTTCGTAGTCTCGATGAGTAAGATAATATCAGCTACAGGTAGAAATCACGATGAAAATCCACCAAAAGTGGCTAAATATTCATTTTGGCATGGCGGCTGAAATATTTGAATCTGCCAAATATTTTCCATCCAGCATCTCTCTGTGACTGCAATATTGTATGCAGTTATATTTTAACGATGATTGCGACTGAATATATTGTGGAGCTCCAGATTAAATGTAAGTAATCTGTCAAATTGGGGGAAAAAAAAAAAAAAAAAAAAAAAAAAACTGCTAAAAATTGTTTCAAATTTATAAGATTGCTGTGCATATTTGCAGTTGGGTAATGCAATAGTGATTTCTGCATCAGCCCAGTAATCGGTGGGGTCAGACCCGTTTCTTCCTCTGAAATTATAAATCCATTTTGATTCATTTAAAATGCTAAAGATTTAATATAAAAAGCGAAAAATGACATTTTACTTGCCGCCTCGGAAAGTTTTTCCTCACAGCTGGGGTGTGATTATTGGTTTTATGTCTGATCATTTGGTAGTACCTGATGCCCTTGCAGTCAGCACTACATTTTGAAATAGATCACGCCATCCAAAAGTGCTGCTAAGTGCAGAAAATGTGCAAAAAATGTTGCTTGGGTCAGACTTTAAAAGAAATGATTCATTGTGGGAAAGGCTCACTAACCACCGAGTTAGGAAGAAGGCTCTCCATTACTGCTCGAAACGCCTTCCACTCTTCGTCTTTTCATCTTCTGATGCAGTTCATCTCGTCGTTTTTATGTCTGTTGACTGAGGCCCACAGCAGAGCCGTGCAGTGGAACAGGTCTGCTGTTGGTCACAGGATGCTTGCTACTGCTCCTCTACAGTAGGTTACCTAATGGAGAGGGATATGAGATGCTAGGTGATGGTGTTTTTTTTTTTTTTTTTCAGTGCCATCTCCATCATCTGCTTTTTCTTTGGCCCACAGCAATGTCCCATCCTAATTTCTCCCCTTTTGTTTTATTCATCCTTTCATCTTCTCCAGACCCTTACTGTCTCTCAGGTTTTTTTTTATTTTTAAACTCCTCCTGTTGCATTTTTCAAGCCGCCCCAGGGC